TCTGGTGGCATGCCTATTGGAGTATGCGTCCCGGTGAAAAAGACGGTTGTACGTGGGAACAATTCAAGGAGCTGATCCGAGAGAAGTATTATCCCTCGTATTACCGATCAGACATGGAGCACCAGTTCTTGGCACTCACCCAGGGTACTCGTTCTGTCGACGAGTACAAAAGAGAGTTTACCCGTCTCGGAGCCTTTGTACCTGATCTTGTGGGTACGGAGGCGAAGAGAGCCCATCGTTTCACAGACGGACTTCGCCCAGCAGTCCGCCACAACATCGTAGGTCACGGCGTCCAGACCTACGCCCGCACAGTTGCCATTGCACAAGAAGTCGATGCCAGTATCCGACGAGAAGCCGTCCAGACACCAGCCCAGCCAGTTGCTCAGCCATCAGCCCAGCCTAACGTTGCCCAATCATCAAAGAACCAGAAGAAGAGGAAGCACAGAGGGGGCCCAGACAACCGGAGGACCCGTCCCATACAATATCCAGAATGCCCAACCTGCGGGAAACACCACCGTGGAGAATGCCTCGTGGGCCAGAATGTTTGTTTCTTTTGCCGCCAGCCAGGTCACTTCAGCACCAACTGTCCAGAACGACTGCAACAACAACCACAACAACGTCAACCACCACAACAACCTCAACAACAGCAGCCCAGGCAGCAACCACAACGACCACAGCAACAGCAACGCGGCAGACAGCAGGCCCGCGTCTTTGCAGTTGACCAGAGGGAGGCCGACCAGCACCTAGGTACCATGTCCGGGATGATTATTCTTAATGATGTGCCTGTCTATGCCTTATTTGATACCGGAGCGACCCATTCTTTTATATCACGCCGATGTCTCGAAGCTATTAGGGTTCGTTCCACTACCGCTGTCGATCCTCTCGAGGTGAGTTTAGCCTCGGGAAGAAAGATAGTGACTGACGCTAGAGCCACCGATCTCAGCCTTTCCATCGGCGGTCGTATTCTGATTATTGATGCTTATGTTATCGAGATGAGGGATTTTGACCTCATACTCGGTATGGATTGGCTAACACGTTTTCACGCAGATATTCGATGTCACGACCGGGAGATTACTCTTTATCTTCTGGGAGATGATCGGATCACTTCTTACGGCTCCAGGACTCGTACTCTGCCTCATGTTATTTCTATGGCGAAAGCCAGAAAGATTCTTCGACAGGGTAATTGCCAGGGTTATCTTGTGAGCCTCGTTGGAGATGAGCCAAAGGCACGTTCACCTCATGACATTCCTATCGTTCGTGAGTTCGTGGATGTGTTTCCAGACCAGCTTCCCGGAGGTCCACCTAGCCGACAGGTGGAATTTTCTATTGATCTTATCTCTAGAGCCGGACCCGTTTCGAAGGCACCGTACAGAATGGCGCCTAAAGAATTACAGGAATTAAAGACCCAAATTCAAGAGTTGTTGAATCTCGATTTTATACGACCGAGCGTTTCTCCTTGGGGAGTACCAGTTCTTTTTGTCAAGAAGAAAGACGGATCCATGCGTATGTGTATCGACTACCGGGATCTTAACCAGTTGACGATCAAGAATAAATATCTGCTTCCCAGGATCGATGATTTATTTGATCAGTTGAGGGGTGCCTGCGTGTTTTCCAAGATTGATTTGCGTTCAGGCTACCATCAGCTGAAAATCAAGGAGTCAGACATACCCAAGACAGCCTTTCGTACGAGATACGGTCACTTCGAGTTTGTGGTTATGCCGTTTGGCCTCAGTAATGCCCCGGCAGTATTCATGGACTTGATGAACCGTGTATTTCATCCTTTTCTCTACCATTTCGTTATTGTCTTCATCGATGATATTCTTATTTATTCCAAGAGCCAGAAGGAGCACGAGGAGCACCTGAGGGCCGTTCTTTCGACCCTTAGATGCGAGAAGTTATATGCAAAGTTCTCCAAGTGCGAGTTTTGGCTTCAGCGAGTGGCTTTTCTTGGCCACATTATTACTACAGCAGATATTGAAGTTGATCCTTCCAAAATTGTTGCAGTCCAGAATTGGTCAGCACCGAAGAATCCGTCCGAGGTTCGTAGTTTCCTCGGCCTTGCAGGTTATTATCGCAGATTTATTGAGGGGTTCTCGAAGATTGCCCTCCCTTTGTCTCAGCTGACGAGGAAGTCTGTAAAGTTTGAATGGACAGACCGTTGTGAGTCAAGTTTTCAGGAGCTGAAAAGGAGGCTTACGACGGCACCGGTGTTGACTATTCCAGATCCTTCTCGGAGTTTCACCATCTATAGTGATGCTTCGAGGCAGGGTTTGGGATGTGTACTTATGCAAGATTGCCAGGTCGTTGCTTATGCGTCACGCCAGCTTAAACCACATGAACAGAACTATCTGACGCACGACTTGGAATTAGCTGCAGTTGTTCATGCCCTTAAGATTTGGCGACACTACCTTTACGGTGGTCAATGCGATATTTTTACCGATCATAAGAGCTTACAATATATCTTTACTCAGAAGGAGCTCAACATGAGACAACGCCGTTGGTTAGAACTCGTGAAGGATTATGATTGTACGATTCAGTACCATCCAGGAAAGGCGAATGTTGTTGCTGATGCCCTAAGCCGTAAGGTGAAGGGTGACTTGACGTATGTGGTTACTCAGCAGATTCAGTTGATACGAGGGTTCGCCCGGATGCGGATTCAGGTGATTGATGCACTTCTTACCGCCAGTACGGGGAGTGTGAGTTCCATGCAGGTTCAGTCGACGCTGAGGGAGAGAATCCGGCAAGAGCAGGCTTCAGATGAGTTTATTCGTACGATTGATGCCAAAGTTCGTGCCGGAGGCGTCGAGGGTTTTCACCGAGGCACTGATGGGGCCTTGGAGTTTCGTGGTAGGATTGTGGTGCCGAAAGTCGAAGCATTGAGAAAGGAGATTTTATCTGAGGCTCATACCGCACCCTATCTAGCCCATCCAGGAAGTACAAAGATGTACCATGACCTGAAAGGGGCGTTTTGGTGGAGAGGATTGAAGAAAGACGTGGCCGACTTTGTAAGAAGATGTTTAACCTGTCAGCAAGTCAAAGCCGAGCATAAAAGTCCCATAGGCCTTCTTCGACCACTGCCGATTCCGAGGTGGAAGTGGGAGGAGGTTGCGATGGATTTCGTCACGGGGTTACCAAGGTCGTCTGAACATCACGACGCTATCTGGGTCGTGGTCGACAGATTGACTAAGGTTGCTCATTTCTTGTCAGTATCGATGAGTATGTCTTTGGATCGGTTGGCTGAGATTTATGTCTGTGGGATCGTTCGACTCTATGGAGTACCTGTTACTGTCGTGTCAGACAGAGACCCCAGATTCACCAGTAGATTCTGGAAGAGTTTACACGAGGCGATGGGTACGAAGCTAGCCTTCAGTTCAGCCTACCATCCCGAGACTGACGGACAGACGGAGCGAACTATGCAGACGTTGGAGGATATGTTACGCGCTTTGATTGTTGACAGGGGTGCTAAATGGGAGTCGTTATTGCCGTACGTCGAGTTCGCGTACAACATCAGTTATCATTCTTCTATTCAGATGGCTCCTTAAGAGGCACTATACGGTCGTAAATGTCGTTCCCCTCTTTATTGGGATGACGTCGGTGAACGTCGAGTACTCGGTCCGAAGCTGATCGAGGAGACAGCTGAAAAAGTCGAGTTGATCAGGCAGAGACTCAGAACAGCTCAGAGCAGAATGAAATCAACTGCTGATCATCATCGACGAGATATTCAGTTCGAGGTTGGCGAGCACGCTTTTCTCAGAGTTAGTCCATTTTGCGGAGTTGTTCGATTCGGGAAGAGAGGGAAGTTACACCCTCGGTTCATTGGCCCGTTCGAAGTACTCGAGCGAGTGGGCGATGTTGCGTATCGTTTAGCCTTACCTCCCGAGTTATCCAGTATTCACAATGTCTTTCATGTATCTATGTTACGCAAGTACGTGTGCAAACCCGATCATGTCATTCCTCATAATGATATTGAGATTCATCCAGACTTATCTTACGAGGAGCGACCGGTAGCTGTGTTGGACCGACAGGTTCGACGGCTCCGGAAGCGTAATGTTCCCCTCTTTCGTATTCAGTGGGATCGCCACGGAGCCACTTGGGAGCAGGAGGCTGACATTCGCGCTCGTTTTCCCGACTTTCAGTTTTGATATGTATATTTTCATGTATATATGTTTTGTTTTATATTTCCGAGGACGGAAATATTTTAAGGAGGGTAGATTGTAATAACCCAACTTCTTGTTAATAAAATGATGTATTATCTTTTACTGATTCCGTTCATTTTCAGCGAATAAGTTCGACGTTAAGTCGAAAAGTTTATTCGGTTAATTATTAACCGAGTCAAAATCGATAATTAATTCCCGAACCATTTATTTTATAAACGGACATTATTAATCGAGATTAATTATTAAAAGTTATGAATGTTCGGGACTAAGTTCGAAGTAGAAATCAAGTGAAGTCATGAACGTATACATGGTGCACTATGCGTGTACGCATGCACGCAGCGGTACGCGTAGCCGCGCACGCGTACGCACGCAGCATGCATCCTCGTGCACAACGCGTAACACACGCGTTAAGTATTCCCTAAACACACGCTTATGTTCCATTAAGCCCCATGATCAAGCTAAGCCAACCCAAATCTCAAGTCTTTGTTTGGGCCGTAAGGATTAGTATCTAGGATAACCATGGATGCAAGTTGCCATGGTGACTCACCTAGTAACTTGAACACATGGCGTGACACGAACGCACGGGGATGACTAAGCCCGTGCATGGCCGCCACCTCGGCAATGACT